TCAACTCATATATATGGTTGGCGGGTACACCGGTAAATTGATGGTAATTGCAAAGCTGACGAACTGACAGGGAAAGGTAGGACCACCCAAAACCAGGAAGGGGCACTGTGGATATACTTAGCAATAACACTTTCACACAGTTTGTTAAAGATCAAACCATTCTAGTAGCCAAGGAACGCTGGAACAACATTCACCTTGCGAAACTTTGAGGATTACCTGATATTTCTATAAAAGAAAACGCTTACGGGACACTTACTAATGTGGAATCAGAACCAATTGACGTGTAAGACCGAATCGAAAAAGTTACCAAATTGAAAAATAAATTACCAAATTACCAAACTTGATAAATAAAGAAAAAAATTACCAATTTTGGTTAAAAATTACCAAAGCGGCAACGCTGCATGTGAATGAATATGAATATATGTATGTATATATATGTATGTACGTGCTTCTTGACTTCATGACTCAGCCTGTTGTTAACCACAGACTACTATTTATCTACATATATGTACATACATACATATGTATGTGGTGTTTATTACGATTTGTGGAGAAAATCATCAAACAATTATCAACTATTTTTGTGGGATGCAAACAATATTCACTATACATGCATATACACCCTGCGTCAAAATTATAAGTGCACCAGATATTGATAAACTAATTTTTTTTTTTTTCATTTTAATAATTTTTTTTAATATAATTTATTCTTTATCAAAAACTGTATTAATCCATGTTTTGACCTTTTGTGCAATATTAAAAAAAAAATCAACAAACTTTTGTAAAAAATTTCAGCTATTTAATTCGATTTTTTAGAAAGAGGTTAGCTAAAACTTATCGTTGATTTTTTCTTCCGTACAAAGTACATATGTACTAGTTTGTTCGAAAATGTGTATATGCAAGATAATGAGCAACAACCTTCAGCAAATATGAACGGTTAGTAAATCGTAGTTACTTTAAACTTGCACTAAAATTGAATGGGCTACAAAAATTCATACTCAAAAATCTTTCTAAGACAACTAATAAAAAATTTAAAATCTTAACGAATGTTTGTTAAATTGTTTTTTATTATAACACCAAGTTTGAAACTTGCCATCGCTTATAATTTTGACACGGAGTGTATATGTATGTATGTAGCTGCAGTGATAACATTAATCGGCGGACGAATTTAGATTTGAAGTAATTTATTTATTAATGTATTGTATTTCCATAAAATGAACCAAATTCAATTAGAAGCGAATAAGTGCGAAAAACTGATTACTCATAATGCAATGAAAATTAATAATAAACCAAGCAGCATTTATATATAACAAATATTAAGTCATAAATAAACATAGTACATAAATAATATCGCTCATTTACATCACTGGCTGATTTCATGGGAACGAATAGTTAGTTATCTCTGATGATTGTAGATGCCAGAAGCTACATAGTTTTTAACATAGTACAAAGCTGTTGTCGATAAATTAATTGAAGTCTACACAGGAAATTAGCAGGTGATTGTTAAAGGCCGAGATATCCCGCCGCGATCCAAGGGGACAGCATGGGTACCCACTATCTCCCTCTTGTCCGACCACTTCGAAACAGCACGGTTCCTGGGCCTACCGTTAGTTGAGCTTGACGACAATGATTAGAGTGTTATCCAGATCAGGGATGCCAACTCTATTAAGACTAATTCCCCCAAATTCCTGAAAAAATTCCTCTACTTTCAATGTACTTATTAGACTGCTCAAAACTTTGCCGGTTTGGCTGGTGTCAAATATAAACGTTAAGTTTATGTTTTAAATCCGTAACACCATATGACAAATTGTTATTACAAGTTGTAATTTTATTCTAAATGTTCTAATAAAAATCGTCTGTATATTGAATTCCCACAAAATTTATAGCCATACCCCGATTATCCCGAGAAATTCAAATTCCACCATAATCGGGGAATTCTCCCCCGGTTGAAGATACATATCTATTTAATATTCTCAACAATAAAAGCTTAAAGTCTGGCCACACAGAAAGCGGTCTGTCACGGCGGGAAGCGATCCAGCGGTTGTCGCGGCGGTCTGCGATTTGGGGACAAATTTAATATGTACAGTGTGTTTTCGAATGACTCTTTATTTGAAAATGTTAAATAGTTATGAATCAGTGATATACATATGTATTATTTTCCGCAGAATTTTCGGTGCTAAATCCAAATACGTACTCAGAACTTTTCTAACCTGTCAGGTTTTTTAGATATCCTAATATAAAGTCGTAAGCGCAAAAAAAAAATGTTTTTTTCTACGAGGAATCACATACCACAAGCTTTCTTTTAATTTTTAATCGAAGCTACAAAGCGATCACGCGGGAAATCTGTAATTTTGTACAACCGGATCGCTCATCGCCGCGACAAAGAGTAGCGGGAGGCGGTACACCGCGTCCTGTGTGACAGATATGATTAAAAACTGAATAATACAAACAGACTGCCTGACCGCCTCGGTCGGATATCGCTTCCCACTGCGACAGACTACTTTCTGTGTGGCCGGGCCTTTAGGTATTCCAGCGAAAGTAGACGACAAGATCCACAAAATCGCATATTACGGTGGCAAAAGGAGAAAAGTATCGGGTGTATGCAGAATGAATTTTGATAAATACAAAGTTCTCTTCTTATGCTCTGATGCCATCCTATTGCAGGTATGATGCGATATTAATAAATGAGAAAAAAGGAAGAAAATGGCCAGCGGTAGCTATGTACGTATATATGATGCAGAACTTTATGGCACGATACTATACAATTTGGGAATGTTCTATGCATATGTGGTTATATATGTTGTATTTATACTAATATGTACATAGAAACAAGACAACAAATTGCGTGACTTTGTGGTATTTAAGCCCCACCTCTACCCTCACGTCAAGTCCAAACGAGCATCAATATATAATTCAAAAGCAACAGCGGTACGAGATAATACGCCAAATGGTTATAAAAACAAAGTAATTGTTGAATACGAGAATTGGAAATATGTTTTAGATACATTTATGCGTAAGTGTGTTCGTGCAATTCAAATTAAATTGTGAGAGCATTTAAAGGTAGACCAAAATAAAATATTCAAATCATTACTGTACATTCCAAACACTCCACCAGTATGTCTTCAAAAACAATACAGAATCATCTTATTATCGCTAACAGATTCAAAAATTCGCAAGTATACTATAGCCAATTTTAATACAATACTTCATTTACAATATATTTTTTAGAGCTACATATCGCCGCCTGAATAAAAAATTGTCGTCAGCGCCATTTTGATAATACCAATTTTCGCATACCCGAAATATTTCTAAAAAATCGGAACAAAAAGTAGGAAATTTGCATGAAAATTAATGAAAGTTTTATCGATTTTTTCTTGTTTTTGTACAGAGTTTGTATTGTTGGTTTTTATGGTTTTTGTTGTACGATGAACTAAAATTTTATTAAAAAAAAAAATAAAAAATATTTAGCATGAAAGTAATTGGGAATAGCAACAAAATATACGGCTCTATCGCGAATTTCGCACGAACAATTATTCCAAAAATTATAAAGCAAAACAAAAACAATTTTTCCTAATTTGTGTTTGTTTTGCATGTAAAATTATAGGAACGATTTATTCACATGGAATTGGCAATAGGGCTGATAGTGTTTTATTTGAGTGGACCATTTTGGCAGGCAGTAGCTGTAAAATTTCATCGTAACTAATTGAACTTAAAATTCTGTTTACACATACATAGATCCTTCAGCAAGCTCTCGTTTATTATTTGTCATTCCACAGAAATTTAGCAAACCTTAGCAACCGTCAACGTCAGCTCAACATACTATCTGCACCGTTCAAGTAATCTATGTATAAGTATACAAGAGTACAAACTTGACTTTGGTTTATTATACAAATCTCCTGGATGGCTGCCTTTGTCGCCGCAAAGACGGAGAGATTTTTATACAATGAAGTATTTTGTACGCAGAAGCATTTGCACATTCAAAAATAAGTACATATGCATATAGGTATGTATACATATGTGTATCCACACACATATGTACTTATATATCTAAAGGCTAAGCACACACAGTAGTTATATACATATGTACATAACGACGCCTCCAAACTATACTATGCTAAGTCTGACTAAGTTTACTTAGCATGGTATGGTTATGAGGTGTAGATATGTATGGATATATATTGTATGTATTTATGTACAGTAAATGCTTAAGTAAATATTTTTTTTTTATGTAAACAAAATCCAGAAAAACGAATGTCGAAGTGTTAAACCCAAAAAACCGGTTTTCAACGAAGCCCTCGTCTGCTAATGTTTATTAACTTGAAAATACATACATATAAACATAAATATATATATATATGCTTATCCACATGTTGTGCTCAACGAGCCAAGTTCCGGCAATAAATAAATACCAACCAAAAACAAGAAAATAAACGCAACAAAATTGGCAAACGTTATGCTTATTCGCTGCAACTTTTGCTTACTAAAGCAATTAAGGCAATGCTTGTCTTCATTCGATTTTGCCAATATTACGGTTCGAAAACATAAATAAGCATTTAGCTTACGTAAATATACAGAAAAATATTTATGTATTTGTGTAGGTATTTTACAGCATAAAAAACATACTCGAATTTCAGTTAAAAAATTGGATAAAAATTTCTCAAGTGGAGCTTTAAGTATACATATATACGTTCCACTATTTTGCTTGGGATATCAAATATCATGTGGTTATTATTTTTCAATACATTTGTTTTCACATCTCATGCGAATTCGTGTTTGTAGATTTACTATAAGTACATATGTATATACCAATGTAGTATGTTTGTTTTAACTTCTCGTGGCACCCTTTCGAGGGCCGGTGTCGCAATCGAAGCTCAAACTCGTTTTTTTTTGTATTAAGTATTTGCCTTATGTCTAATACATATTCGCATTTTACCTTCTTTTTAACAAAAACAAAAAAAAGTTTATTTAACTACATTTTGTATATAAATGCTGAGACTTACCGATACTATAGTGTTAAATGCGAATAGCAAGTATTTAGCTGTTGATGTGCCACAATCCATTGTGGTGAATTTATGCTTCTATATTCGCGGTGAACAAGCAAACCAAACTTTATCTGGAAAAAATATTAAAAAAAGTAAAATTAGTTAATGGCAATAATCACAGTAAGAGTTAACTCTCGCACGATGGTTAAATTTTAAGCTTTTAAAGACGAAAATTAACAGCCAAATGAGAGCTATTAAAATATGACATAATTAAAATGTTTGTTATATTTTCTTATATATAATCAAGTCATAATGTAGTTTGACTAAGCCCAATCAGATTAACACATAAATAAAGAGCAGAATTCCAGTGCTTCGAGTTAATGCCTAGCAGTCTTCTACATACATACATACATTTGTAATTACATAAAACCTTGGAAAATCTTGTATATTATGTATTAAAGGTTCTAGTTTTTTGCTCAAGTACCTAAAGGGAATATTGAAAACGAGAGTAATGAAATGACTGCCTTCTCTTGTTGTTGTTGTTGTAGCGACCACTTAATCCTGCCTTGAAGTGGATAATACTCAACAAACAGCAGGCCCAGGAAACATGCTGTTTCAATGGAGTCGAGCAGAAGGGAGAGCCATGTTAGTTGAGCTTTGTTGAATGGGCATGTAGAGAGATGTTTGGCGACATGCCGAACATACGTAGAGTGCGTCGGGGTCTAGTCTGGATAAAGAGGAGTATTGTTTCTCGCTGCGTTGTCGTCTGGTTCAGCTAAGGGAAGGCCCAGGAAGTGCGCGACTTCGGCAGGGCTGCCCATAGGGATAGGGACGTTAGCTGTGTGGGGTTTTTGGGGGCATGCGAAGAGGTGCCGTGAGACATGTGGAGTCTGTCCGCATGCCGGGCGTTGGTTGTGTACATCCTCGTTTATTCTGCTCAGGTATGAGCCTGTCTGTATGCAGTTCGGTCCAGAGGTTGTTTGATGAACCCCTAGAATTCGTCCGTCAGTTCGTAGAGATGACTCCTGACGTGCCTTGGTGAGGGCTCTTCTGCAAGAAACTGGCTATTTGGATGACCACGTCTGTAGCGCCCTACTACAAACTGCTTACAGAGCATTGTGTTACGCTACTTGATGGCCAGTATCTGGCCTTCGTCGTGTAGGTGGTGATGAAGAGACATCAGGTATCCAGGCGCGGTCTAAAGTGCTGTGTTTGGGCAAGTCTGTAACTTCGTCCACTGCGTTTTGCTAGTCCCCGGTGATCACATGGGCGCTGCATAATTTAGAACCGGCCGCCCAATTATGCCTTGTATGTTGCCAACAACGTTTCTTTATCTTTGCCCGAAGCTGCCGGCCGGCGACTTCAGCACCTTGTTGCGGCTCCGTACTCTGTTGTGGTTGTATGCTCCAAGAAGGAAAGTACACTGTCGAAAGTAACTCCGAGGATTTTTGAGTTATTCACCGTCGGAATTGGTTCGCCCTCGACGTGAATACCCAGCTGCAGTCTGAGGGATGAATAAGGTTGCCGAAGATTTTGTAGGGGAGAGGGTTAGGCTTCTTGCAGTGAACAAGCGTGAAATCTTGGAGAGGTAGCCGTTTACTTTCGAGCACATGTAATCAACTCCATTGCCATACGCCAATATACCGTTTGAGTCCAAGTGGGAGAGAGGGATCCTTAATGTTTTCTAGAAGCGTATAATGACTGACGGTGACAAACGTCTTTCGACAGATTCAGCGCTGCTAGGACTGTTCTCTCACAAGGCCGATTTCGGTTAAGGCCTTCGTTTTGGCTGCTTTTAGATGCTCCTTGGAAATCTTTTTTAGACACGAATACGATTGCCACCATTTTGTACGTGCTCATATAATTATTATATACTAACTCGTTCGAATTTCGTTGAGAGCATAATAAAGAGAGTTCCGTTTTTTGACTAGAAATTTCCAAGTTTGATTTTGTGGGCTTAATTACTGATATGCCGAGAGCGGCTGTATGGCTCAGAGGACGTTATGACGTTATAGAAATCGCATCGTGTTATTTGAGGTCTGGCTTAATGGCATCTGGAACTTAGCAAATTTGTTTTCTACAGGCTGAAATGTAACTTAGCGTGACGCATATGTAAATATGGAGATATTGGTATTGTTGTCTAAACGAAATCGAAACCAATGAAACAAGTTTACTTTACGTTGCGTCAAGTACTACTGCAACCAAATGTTTTTTTTTTTAATTTTTACCTTTCCTTCGAGCTTCATTGAATATTACGTTACATCATAACCGCATACTTACATATATGTATATCGGTGTTCGTATGGAATAGTAGCTTATGTCGGGAAGCTGGCTTTGGTATAATGCGACATTCCCTTTATTCTTTAAACAAAAAGGAATTTTTAGATAAAACTTAATAAGAATATTGACTTGCTAGTATCGCAACTATTTCTGCACGTTTATTTGCCAAAAGTTCTTCAACTACTCGGCGCCAGTGAGTCATTCGCAATCGTATGCTGCGAATGCCGCATTATACTAAAGCCAACCTTTCGCTATAAGCTATTGTTCCATACGAACACAGATATATTTATACATAGGTACCGATTGATACACGTATGTATGCACATAATTATGTACTGTGAATTGGAAACGTACATATGCTGCAAAACACTCCATACATTCGTGAAAAAGGTAGCTTAACTTTATTTTTTGTATATCTTTTCGCGAAACCGGTTAAACCAGCTCGCGCGCATATGTATGTACGTAGATATATGTATGTATATGTATGTAACAATATATTAAACTGGCAATCTGCGCTAGGTTTTACTCTAAAGTCTCAGTCTGCTTTTAAACCCTTTTTATGCTCTGCAAGTATTAATAAATATAATTGCGACCTTCAATTTACCACAGGTCACTGATTTTTTTGCTCTCGGATATACATCTCTAATTTGTTTTGCATGATAGAAGTAAATTTAGCTTGCACGCAGCATCACCATTTTGCTCTAATTTAAATTT